GCTCCGTGCATCCTTGGCATAGACTACCTCAGGAGAGGGTATTTCAAGGACCCAAAAGGGTACCGGTGGGCTTTTGGTATAGCTGCCTTGGAGACGGAGGAAATTAACCAGCTGTCCACCTTGCCTGGTCTCTCGGAGGACCCCTCTGTTGTGGGGTTGCTGAAGGTCAAAGACAAACAGGTGCCAATCGCCACCACTACAGTGCACAGGCAGCAATATCACACCAACCAAAACTCCCTGATGCCCATCCATAAGCTGATTCATCAACTGGAGAGCCAAGGAGTGATCAGCAAGACTCACTCACCCTTTAACAGTCCCATCTGGCCAGTGCGAAATTCTAATGGAGAGTGGAGACCAACAGTAGACTATCATGGCCTGAGCGAAGTCACACCGCCCCTGAGTCCTGCTGTGCCGGACATGGTAGAACTTCAGTACGAACTGGAGTCAAAGGCAGGCAAGTGGTATGGCACAACTGATATCGCTAATGCGTTTTTCTCAATCCCTACATTTACAATGGGCTTAGGAAACAGAATTTGGCCCCTTCTTTTACTATGTAAAGATGTAGGTTCCTGTCAAGTTGTTTCAGAATTCTCGTAGCTATAAGAAATTGTCCTTGGTTGGTACTAAAATCATATCAATAATTACACAGCGATATCGCTAATGCGTTTTTCTCAATCCCTACATTTACAATGGGCTTAGGAAACAGAATTTGGCCCCTTCTTTTACTATGTAAAGATGTAGGTTCCTGTCAAGTTGTTTCAGAATTCTCGTAGCTATAAGAAATTGTCCTTGGTTGGTACTAAAATCATATCAATAATTACACAGCAACTTCTCATGTAGAAACAATATCATTTTCTTACCAGGTTGTCCAGCTGGTCAGAAAAATTATATTTTACCAGGGTGGAGGGGAGCAGGAGGAGAGGAAAGGGAAGGAAGGAGAGCCAGAAATCAAACAAACAGCTGTTCTCTAGACAGCAGCTCCCACTCCAGCTTTGCAGAATCACAGAATGGTTGAGGTTGGCAGGGACCTCTGGAATTCATCTGGTCCAAGCCCCTGCTCAAGTAGGGCCACCTAGAGCAGGTTGCCCAGGACCATGTGCAGACAGATTTTGAATATCTCAAAGGAGGGAGACTCCACAACCTCCCTGGGCAACCTGTGCCAGTGCTCAGTCACCCTTGCCATAAAAAAAAAAAAATGTTTCCTCGTGTTTGACTCTCTCCAGTATGTCCCTGTCTCTCTCATACTGGGGAGCCCTGAACTGAACACAGCACTCCAGGTATGGCCTTACCAGTGCTGAGCAGAAGGGAAGGATCACCTCCTGGACCTGCTGGCAAGTCCTCCTAACACAGCCCAGGTCATCATTTGCCTTCTTTGCCGCAAGGGCACGTTGCTGGCTCATGTTCAACTTGGTGTTCACAAGGATTCCCAGGTCCCTTTCTGCAGAGCTGCTTTCCAGCTGGGTGGGCCCCAGCATATAGTCATGCATGGGGTTGTTCCTCCCCAGGTGCAGGACTTTGCGCTTCTCCTTGTTGAACTACATGAGGTTCCTGTCAGACCATTTCTCCAGACTCTCAATGTCCCTCTGGATGACAGCATGACCACCTGGTGTATCAGCCACTCCTTCCAGTTTTGTGTCACATGCAGACTTGCTGAGGGTACACTCCGGCCCATCATCCAGATCATTAATGAAGAGGTTAGCCATGGCTTGCGGCTGTCAGTTAAGGAAATGAAAAGTGCTGAGATCCACAATGAGGAGCTAGAGGCATGGAAGCTTAACCAGCGAAGTACAGGATGGTGCGTGTATGCAATGAAGGAAAAGGAAAGATCTTTTCATATGAGAACAAGGGGATTTGTTTTTCAACACATACTTTTTAATATAGCATTTATACGTAGTGCATTTTGACACATTTGATTTATTAATCATTATTTTTGTAATTGATTAGAAAGAGGTTACACTTTCTTTGCCATTCATCTATCACACCAAAGAATATATATAATCAAGTACTCTGAAATTGTTATTAGCCTTAGTGACTTTACTTTTCTCGGTAAAGATCGCATTGCATAAGGTATTGATAGGATACAGAAATCAGTAAAACATGTATACCTAATATTTGCCTCCTGTATTTAGTCTGAACAGATATTTATATTGAGGAATTGTTTGTAAGTGTAAGAGTTCCTAAGGGACCTATCTGAAACATCATCAGCACACAGATGATAAAACATATGCATGACAAAGATGGAGTGTTTAATTTTTAGTTGTCACATACCAAAATGTCTCCACTGAAAATGTATTGGAAGTCAAGCTTAGAGGCAGACCCAGTAACGCTCCGTGACAGTCATTTTGCTCCTAGAGACTAATGGAAATTTTACCCTAATTACAGCTTAGTAGGATTAAGCACAAATAAATCACTATTAGCTTTTCTGAATATTGCCTATCTTGTGTGAATTTAAAACAGATACTGTATTTTCCCATCCAAAGTCCTGACTTGGTTGCTTATTGTTACACTCAAAGACCATAAAATCCAAGTTTATCCCAATGGATAAAACAAATGGTAGAATTAACATTTTAATGGCTATACCAAACTAGCTTTAAACACCTCAGTTTTCCAAGCTAATTACTAAAACTGCCTGGGACACCCCAGAAGGAAAACAAACAACTCCCCATGTCAGTCTTTAGGATATTCTCACAGAAGGAAAGATTTGATGAAAGGTAAAAACTTTTTCCAAGTTCTATAGATGAGTCAACAGTATCTGCGATGCTGCTTTGGCTGAGGGTGATGAAAGATTCAATAAAGTCTCTTTGAGATGCAGAGATAGTGCTAACCTCGTGATGAAATGAATTACAGGAGAAACAGATGGAGATTTGTATAACCAAACTGAGGAGCCGAGGACGAACTTGTACGTGCCGTGCCCAAAGCTGACTCTGTGGGAGCTCTATTCATGAGATACGGCGGCCTTGAGGTCACTCACTGTATAGGTGTAGACACTAAATGACATCCAAAGCCAATGCAAAAAAGTATTAAATCATAACATTTTTCAAAGCGTTTCAAGCTGAATTACACCATTCTATGGCTAGAAGTGACTCTATAAACACTAAATAGACCAATTCAGCATTTGTTCATATCCAGCATCTTATTTAACTCAGACATGACTACGAGTTGAAGAATCAGGGCTCAAAGAAAATAATTAAAAATGGACTCCCCTAACAAATGCATGAGTGCTTCACATGGTTTTCTGTCTACTTCTGAGCTCTGAACTGTTGCCCTTCTGGACAGCCTTCTCCACACAGCTATCTCCACCATGCAGAAGGAAACGCGTGGGATGGCCTGCTATGATTACTGCATTGCAAAATCCCAATTGCCACTGTAATACCTGGAACAGATTGGTCACAGACACTTAATTTCCAAAACTGAAAGTGCACGGCAGATACTAATTTCCAAACAGAAACATAATCTTAGATTTTTTTGTAGTACATTTAATAATTGAAATAATTGCTTCCCATGTTAGATGCAAACCACCTCAACCACTGCATGCTTTTCTAACTGGGGGGGTGAGAAAGTCCCATGTCAGTTTTGATGGGCACGCCACCAAAGGCTGAGTGGAGTCCCCCAGCCCGCTAAAGGCTACGGTTAACAAGTCACAACGTAGTCATAATAATGCAACTAGGGGCATCACAGGTAGCCCCACTGGGCAGTGCTGAATCTTGGCTCTCCGTGAGTTCTTTCGTCTCTGTTCATACAATCTCCACTCTGAGCTGTTCCAGCTTTCGTTTTGCCAGTATCCAGACCCCACTAGGTATTTTTCAATGGCATCATCAGCTCCCATCAACGCAGATATAGCACAAAGCACAGGAACACACACACAATAGACCCGCAATGCATTTCCTCACTCCTAGTAGCTCCTTGAGCCTGTAAAATGGAAGTAAAATCTTGTGGCTCCTCACCCAAGTTAGTTACACACAGACAGCTACAGGACCTGTTCTAATATCCCAGTACTCATAACATGCTTAATGCCATTCTTGAACACAACAAAAAAGACAATACCTGCTCCAGAAAGCTCCAGATTAGAGATCCTGAGATGTTCTGCTGATAATTTAACATGCTTTAATGCTCCCAATTTCTTCAGATCCAATACTATATCGAGGATCCTGAAGTCAGCAGGAGCTTGCGGCTCTGTTGTTGTTTAGCTATTTCCATTACATTGAACAACAGTGAGAGAAGTTTTATACCTAGAGAGGATTTGGTAGAATTTTCTTCCCCTTCCCCAGCAAATTACCCTGATCTGGGGGCCAAGACACCCACATGTCAGTCTGGCATGCCAGGCTAGTTTAGGTTTTTCTGGTCCTCCAGAATCACAGGTATTTTCTGCTTCTTGCACAGTTATATTTGAAGGAGCTAAGAAAAGGGATGTGAAAATTTGCACACACACACACTTTTTTTCCCCTCTGGTAACTGACTTTCACAAAAGGACCAGTTCAGCAGCATCAGCGTAAGTGCCCAGTGCCATCTTAGACACATCAGGAACACCCATGCAAAGCTGGCAGATGTGACATGGGACCTACAGGAGACCATCCCCATCTGGAGCAGCAGCACAAGGCTAGAGACACACTAGGCTACCTGAAAAAGCAATCAGTCACTCTCAAAGTGCCCTTCGTAAATTTGTGGGTTTTGCAAATTACTTTCTGAGGTAAAACAAAGATTCTATTGGCAAACTTCTCAGATGATATGCAGATGGCCAACATACAGCTAAGTCCTTCTCCCACCTCTCCCAGAAGAAAAAGGAGGCGTTAGTCATTTCCGTAAGATTTTTCAGTGAAATGAAAAAAATATTACAATTGCTGCATGGCATATGCACACATATTTCTATCCAGGAAATCCTTAAAGATGAAATCCTGGCCTGAAATATGGGAGCCCTAAAATGGCTGTAATAGTGTCATAACACAATTCACACGTGGCATTCATTTACTACATATAAAGACAGGAAAAGACAAAAATATACCCTCCCTAGTGATCCAGTTCAGGCCCCTTTGAATCAGTGGAAACCGTCTATTGACTTTAGAATCATAGAATCATTAAGGTTGGAAAAGACCTCCAAGATCATTGAGTCCAACCGTCAACCCAACACCACCATGCCCACTAAACCATGTCCCTAAGCACCTCATC